GGTAATGGTGGTAGTGATGGTAACGGTGTGATGGTGGTGGCAGTGATGGTGAATGGTGGTGACGGTGGTAGTGGTGGTGATGGTGGTAGTGGTGGTGGTGGTGGTGGTGGTAGTGGTAGTGATGGTGGTGATGGAGATGGTGGTAGTGGATGTGACGATGGTGGTGATGGTAATAATGGTAGTGGTGATGGTGTGGTGGTGTTGATGGTGGTGGTAGTGATGGTAGTGATGGTGGTGGTAATGGTGGTAGTGATGGTGGTGGTAGTGGTGGTAGTGATGGTGGTGGCAGTGATGGTGGTGGTAATGGTGGTAGTGATGGTGATGGTAATGGTGGTGGTGATGGTGGTGGTAATGGTGGTGGTGGTAATGGTGGTAGTGATGGTAATGGTGGTAGTGATGGTGGTGGTATGTGGTAGTGATGGTGATGGTAGTGGTGGTAGTGATGGTGGTGGCAGTGATGGTGGTGGTAATGGTGGTGTGATGGTGATGGTAATGGTGGTAGTGATGGTGATGGTAGTGGGGCCAGATGCCACTGAATTATTAACAAGGTTTCACAATGTCAACAAACAGAAACATGCAATCTGTGGTGGTCCTGTCCTCACCTCCACCACTATCTCCATCATCATCTCCACCATCACCACCATCACCTTCTTGGCAAACAAATAGCACCACCACGGACACAATCATCATGGCACCAGCACCATGAAACAGCAGCAGGTCATGTCAACACATGCACCACGACCATGGCATATCAACTGGCTACCATGGATATGCATCTGCAACGATGGTGGCTACCAGATCAGTGGATCAGCTAGCTGATCTTTGGTGGCCTGCTAGTCATGGGTTCACCACCACCACCATCACCACTACCACTACCATCACCACCACCAACACCTTCACCACCACCACCACCACGATCCAAATTCCACCATTGAGTATTCTTTGTGAAGTATTATGTATATATAATTATGTGTACATGATTATGTATGTGTGAAACTATGAATGTGTGTGTGTATGAATGTGTGTGTGTGTACGTATGTATGAATAGATGTATATGTTTAAATATGTATGAATGTGTGTGAGTATGTATGAATGTGTGTGTGTATGTATGAATTGATGTACGTGTATAAATGTATAGGTATAATTGTCGTTAACTCTTACTGATGGTTTGGTCCAATAAAGATAACTTTGTGTTCCTTAATGGGGAGTAATTCGTCTATGATCAAAATTACTGTTTTTATTGAAGGCGCCGTTAGGGTAGGTTAGGTTAGGGTAGGGTAGGTTAGGTTAGGGTAGGTTAGGTTTGGTTAGGGTTGGTTAGGGTTGGTTAGGGTAGGTTAGGTTAGGGTAGGGTAGGTTTGGTTAGGGTAGGGTAGGTTAGGGTAGGGGTAAGGTTAGGGTAGGGTAGGTGGGTTAGGTTAGGGTGGACATAAGTTTCCAATAAAGTTAAATACATGCAAGTAATTATTCCTATTTAGTGTAACACATATATATGTAAGTGTACATATGCGTGTGTACGAGTATATGAAGGGATACACACACAGACACACACACACACACACACACACATGAACTAGTAGTTACAGATGAACAAACACATAAAACGTTCATGAATTAAATGAGAGTTATTGTGAACACGTAAATCCGCCATGGGAAGGGGAGGGAGATGTGGGGGAGGAGGGTGAGGAGGGAGGTGAGGGTGAGGAGGGTGGGAGGAGGTGAGGGTGAGGAGGAGATGTGGGGAGGAGATGTGGGCAGGAGGTGATGGGTGGGAGGAGATGTTGGGTGGGAGGGAGATGTGGGCAGGGGAGGTGAGGGGTGGGAGGGAGGTGGGAGGTGAGGGGGGTGGGGAGGAGATGTGGGGTGGGAAGGATGTGGGCGGGGGGAGGTGAGGGGTGGGAGGTGAGGGGGTGGGGAGGGAGATGTGGGGTGGGAGGGAGATGTGGGCAGGGGAGGTGAGGGGTGGGAGGTGGGGGTGGGAGGGGGAGATGTGGGCAGGGGGAGGTGGGGGGTGGAGGTGAGGGTGGGGAACGGGAGAGAAGTTCATTCCTACCACCACTACTACACTACCACCACTACTACCACCATCAGTTATATCTAATACTTGATCTACCACCATTCTCACTTGCACACCACCTACCACAATCACCACCATCTCCACTACCATTCCTAACACCTTTTCCCTTCCTAACTTTTAGTCTCCCAACTCTCCCTCCTTCCTCCCCCTCATTCTTTCCTCCCCAAACCTTCTCCCCCCAAGACCACTGAGCTCACCTTAACCTAATATCTCCCCACTTTCCCCAATACCCCTCCTCCAAAATTCCTCCCCAACACCCCCTCTCCACCCTCCCCCCACCCTCCCTCCCCCCCACCCTCCCTACCCCCTCCTCCCTTCCCCACCATCCCCTCCCCACCCTCCCCTACCTCCCCACCCCCCTTACACCCCCACCACTCTCCCCACCTCCCTCCCCCCACCACCCCCCTCCCCACCTCCCCCTACCCTCCCCCTCCCCTCCCTACCACCCCCCTTACCACACCCCCACCACCCTCCCTACCACCCTCCCCCTCACCACCCCTCTCCCCACCACCTCCCCTACCCCTCCCACCCCACCCCTCCCCACCTCCCCTCCCCCACCTCCCCTCCCCTACCCCCCCCACCACCCCCCCCCACCACCCTCCCCACCCATCCCCACCCCCTCCCCACCACCCCCTCCCCCCCTACCCTCCCCCACCTCCCCTCCCCCACCACCCCCCTTACCCACCCCCCACCCTCCCCTCCCCTCCCCCCTACCCTCCCCACCACCCCTCCCCCTCTCCCCACCCCTCCCACCCCCCACCCCACCCCCCACCCTCCCCTCCTTCCCCACCCTCCCCCACCACCCCTCCCCACCCTCCCCACCACCCTCCCCACCACCCCTCCCCCCCACACCTCCCCACCTCCCTCCCCACCACCCCTCCCCCACCACCCCTCCCCCACCCCCCTCCCCACCTCCCCTCCCCCACCACCTCCCCCTACCCACCCCTACCCTCCCCCACCCACCCCTCCCCACCACCCTCCCCACCTCCCCTCCCCCACTACCCCCCCACCTCCCCTCCCCCCACCCCCTTACCACACCCCCCCACCACCCTCCCCACCACCCTTCCCACCTCCCTCCCCTACCCCTCCCCACCTCCCCTCCCACCCCTTACCCACCACACCCCCCACACCCTCCACCACCCTCCCCTACCCTCCCCCCACCACCCCCCCCTCCCACCTCCCCTCCCCACTACCCCCACCTCCCTCCCCACCACCCTCCCCTCCCACCTCCCCTCCCCTCCCCACCACAATATTTGCCTTGCTCACTTGGTCGAGTGTTTAAGTGGTGTTCCTCACAGACCTTCTGCAAGCTGTCATTCTTACCTCTATTCTTTATCAGGTAAATATTTGCTATCCTTCCCCTTCTTCTCTCCCCTTCCCCTGGCTGGACACCGCCCCCCCTTCCCCCCCCCTCCTGGTGTGCATGACCAGATAGCTACGTGTCTCATAGGCGTGTCCTGACCCATGTCCAGGTGATATAACACTAAGGGTGAGGACATGTGTGTGTGTGTGTGTGTAAAGATGTATACAGTGTCTATGAATACACTGAATCCTCGAACCTGACCCCCTGAACCCCTCCTCCCCCCCATAGGTAAGGAAGGAGTCTCGATAGTATTTTTGATGAGTAATTCAAATTTACTCATATTTTTAACCTGTTTACTCACCAAATATTTTGTGAAGGAGTACATGTGTGTGTGTTTATCCTGTACACACACACACACACATCTACACACACACACGTACATGAGGGAGTGCACGTGTTAGTTCCGTACACCTCCGCCAATAATCTCTGTACACACTCATACACGCGTGTGCATATATTTACACACGCACATATTTGTACACACGTACATATCGTACACATACACGAGCACATATACTCCCGGCGTGTCCAATTTGATTACGTACATGAACATGCACACACACACACACACACACACACACACACACACACACACAAAGAAAGACAGAGAGGGAGAAATACACAGACAGACAGACAGACATAAAGACAGACAGACAGACAGACAGACAGACAGACAGACAGACAGACAGACAGACAGACAGACAGACTATATTTGACTGGTGGTTGAGACTGGTGACGTCAATTTTAATAATAACAAACATAACATCACGCTCTCTGACCAATCAGGGCCTGGATGACGCTCGCTCTCTGACCAATCAGGGCCTGGATGACGCTCGCTCTCTGACCAATCAGGGCCTGGATGACGCTCGCTCTCTGACCAATCAGGGCCTGGATGACGCTCGCTCTCTGACCAATCAGGGCCTGGATGACGCTCGCTCTCTGACCAATCAGGGCCTGGATGACCTCGCTCTCTGACCAATCAGGGCCTGGATGACGCTCGCTCTCCTGACCAATCAGGGCCTGGATGACGCTCGCTCTCGACCAATCAGGGCCTGGATGACCTCGCTCTCTGACCAATCAGGGCCTGGATGACTCGCTCTCTGACCAATCAGGGCCTGGATGACCTCGCTCTCTGACCAATCAGGGCCTGGATGACGCTCGCTCTCTGACCAATCAGGGCCTGGATGACCTCGCTCTCTGACCAATCAGGGCCTGGATGACGCTCGCTCTCTGACCAATCAGGGCCTGGATGACGCGCTCTCTGACCAATCAGGGCCTGGATGACGCTCGCTCTCTGACCAATCAGGGCCTGGATGACGCTCGCTCTCTGACCAATCAGGGCCTGGATGACGCTGCTCTCTGACCAATCAGGGCCTGGATGACGCTCGCTCTCCCTGACCAATCAGGGCCTGGATGACGCTCGCTCTCTGACCAATCAGGGCCTGGATGACGCTCGCTCTCTGACCAATCAGGGCCTGGATGACGCTCCTCTCTGACAATCAGGGCCTGGATGACGCTCGCTCTCTGACCAATCAGGGCCTGGATGACGCTCGCTCTGACCAATCAGGGCCTGGATGACGCTCGCTCTCTGACCAATCAGGGCCTGGATGACGCTCGCTCTCTGACCAATCAGGGCCTGGATGACGCTCGCTCTCTGACCAATCAGGGCCTGGATGACGCTCGCTCTCTGACCAATCAGGGGCCTGGATGACGCTCGCTCTCTGACCAATCAGGGCCTGGATGACGCTCGCTCTCTAACAGGGACTTTAAAAAAAATCATAATTGTCAAATAAAAGTAAAACAAGAAAACATAACAAAAATACAACGAAAATAAAGACAAAAAATACAAAAAAAAATATAAAAGAAATAAACAAGTAAAAAAAAATACTTTAAAAACTAATACTAAAAAATAAGACAATAAAAAAAAAAAAAAATAAAATAAACCAAAATAAAAAATACTAAAACAAAAAAGGAAAAAGACCCGACATCTAAGAGCCAGAGAGAGAGAGAGAGAGAGAGAGAAAAAAATATATATGTTGAGAAATATAATAATATAAATAATATATAATTAGTCCAATTATACTGTTAGATATAATTAATGGCTGGAGGTAATTATATATTGTTTCATGACGACGAGAGAGACATTTTTGTGGGTTTATAGTACGATGGTTTTGGGGGGGGTAACATCCTTCTTCCAACCACCTCCCCCTCTCACCTACCCCCTCACCCATCATCCCTTCACCTCTCCCCTCCTCTTTCACATCCCCCTCCTCCTCCTCTCATCACCCCCTTCCGTCCACATCTCTTCCCTTCTTCCTCCCCCTTCCATCAGACCCCCCACTGGGAGGTCATGGGGGAAGGGTGACGACTGCATAGAAAGCATTAATGTGTCCTATTTTTCTCCCCTCTTCCCCTTCTTCCTTCTTCCTCCTCCTCCTTCTTCCCCCTCACCTCTTCTGCCTCCCCCTTCCATCTCCTCTTCCACACCACTTAACCTCTTCCCTCCCCACTTCCCCCTTACATTTCCCCCCCGTGACTATGAAAACTTACAGAGAGGGGGAGGGAGGGCTGGGGAAACCCGATAGTGGACACGTATTCTCCTCCTTCACCCTCCAGGATAGTAAGAGGGGTGCTGAGGGTCGCACGGCTTGAGGAAAAATTGCCGGGAGGTAAACAGGGATGGAAGTAATTGCTGAGGCAGGAATGGTCCTTGTGGTGGCGATCGTTAAGCCCTGTACCTGTGAGGGGTGTGGGGAGGGGTTTGTGTGTTGGGGAGGATGTTGGTTTTGAGAGGGGGTATGGGGGAGAAGAGGGTGTGTGTGGGTGGGGAGAGAGGGGTGGAGGTGGGGAGGAGAGGGGTGGCAGGTGGGAGGAGGGGGAGAGGGGAGGAGAGGTGTATGAGGTGGGGAGGAGAGGGGAAGGAGGTGGGGAGAAGAGGGATAGGAGGTGGGGGAGGAGAGGGTGTATGAGGTGGGGAGGAGAGGTTTAGAATGAAAGATTTCGAATTCAGGGTTCGAAACTCAAGACATCTTTCCAAACACTAAACCATGATTCGAACCCTGAATCTACCCAGAACTGTGCGTGTTTGAACCCATAAATCAATCAAACAAATGAATCGAATCCAAAATATAAAGTCTTGATTCAGAACACCAAACTGAACCCGGAATTAGAACACAGGATTTGAACTGAACCCAAAGCTACCCATGAATTGAACCTGACACCTCCTCCCTCCCCCTCTCTCTGCCTCCCACCTTCCTCCCATCCCTAACCTAACCAACCCTCCTCCACACCCCTCCTCATTCCTCCCACTTCCCCACCTCTTCCCTCCCCCCCTGTAAAGAACCTCTGTAATTAGTAATTTGTGAGTTTATTTACGGTGTTATATGGTGTGTCTGGTGTGGGTGTAGGGGGTCCAGGTGTCATGGGTGGGCAGACAGGGTAATGATCACCTGTCTGAGATGGTTCTGAGGGCTAGGCTAGAAGTGGTAGATAGGAAGTAGGAAAGGAAGTTTGAAGCCAGGGCTAGAGGCTAAGCAGTTGAGTGGGGTCTGCCGCCCACTATTCTGTCTGTCTGTGTCTGTCTTCTATTTATTCAGAGAGAGAGAGAGAGAGAGAGAGAGAGAGAGAGAGAGAGAGCTGTACATGCAAAGATAGAGGTGGGGGATCTTCCACATGTCACAAACACAGTGACCGCTGCTTCTGTGACACACTGGGATGGTCTCTAGCTTTTTCCTGGGGTCCAGATCCTGGAGTCCTGGGAGGGTCCTGGGGGTCCTGAGGGTCTCTGGGAGTCCTGAGGGTCCTGGAAGTCTTGGTGTCTTGGGGTCCTGGGGTCCTGGGGTCTGGGGTCCTGAGGGGTCCTGGAGGTCTGGGGGTCCCTGAGGGGTCCTGGAGCCCTGTTGGTGTCCGGGGGGTCCTGAGGGTCCTAAATGCCCCCTCAACAGTGGCTAGATGTCAGTAGTGAAGTGGGTGGGGGGGTCACCTGGAGGAGGGGGGCTCATTTTGGGGCTTCACCTGATGGGGGGCAGGTCACCTGTATAGTCCAGGTACTGTGAAGCATTACTCTCTCTCTCCTTGGGTCAGACGATCATTATGGAGTTAAATTACTGGAGGTCATGTGACTGTCGACCTTAACGAGAGGGTCCACAATGATTATATCCCCTTCTCACGTCATCCTCCCTCCCTCCCTCTCCCCTCCCTTCCTTCTCTTCCGCTGTCCTCCCGTCTCCTGCCTCCCCCTTCCTCCACTCTCCCTTCTCTTCCGCTCCCTTCCCTTCCTCACCCCTTCCTCATTTCCTTTACCCCTCTCTTCCCTCCCACACCCTCCTTCTCATCCCTGTCTCCACCTACCCCACCCCAACCACCACCACACCCCACCCCACCCCACCACCCCACCACACCCCACCCACACCCCCACCTACACCCTCTTAATCCATGAAGTTATCGGAAACAAATCACAGTGTACCAACAAATGCGAATCCGACGCTAGATAATCCTGTATTTTCGCCGTGATTGGGGGTGGGGAGGGGAGAGGATGGGGTGGGGGAATTCGACTACTATGATTTGTCTAATCCTCTCGGTGGTAAGACAGTGTCACCTGTAATGATTGGGTAGTTGTGAATCATTTGTTTAACCAATCTGGTGATTAGGTGGAACTCTCTCTCTCTCTCTCTCGCCTCTCTCTCTCTCATGGTCTGGTTTAAGTCATGGTTTATCGACGCGGGTTTTCAGGGGTTTAATTTTCTGCCATTTGATTAATTTAGAAAATACAGTACAGGTGAAATTACAGCCAAAATACAGGTACAAAATAACACCCAAACACAAGCATAAATCCCCATCTTGTTTGTCTCGTGTTTGTATTACGCATTACAAACACGTCATTTCATCCCTGTTTGTAATCTGACTCGGAAATAACATAACAGGTAAAATGAGTAAAGATACAGAGATTACAAAATGAAAATTACAGAATTACAGGTTGGGGGGGATTTATATATATGTGTTTTTCGTGTTTGTGTTTTTTTTAGTGACGTAGGGATTTTATGTCATGTGATTTAATTCAGAAATAACAGTAGAGGTAGAGGTCTAATTACAGGTGTTTGGGACTAATAACATAACACGGATATAAAGTTCATTTTGTGTACCTGTGACGTGTGTGTGTCACTTGGTTTCATTATTTCTGGGTGTTTTTTTATATCATTTAGAAATTACATAAGATACAGGTATAGATACAGGTATATTGAGTAAATTACATAAGATACAGGAAATAGTATATTAGTAAATTATAGATACAAAAAATTACATAGATAAGTATAGATACAGGTATATGAGTAAATTACATAGGATACAGGTATAGATACAGGTATATTGAGTAAATTATATAGATAACATATGTTGAGAATTACATAGGATAAGTATAGACAGGTATATTGAGTAAAATTACATAGGATACAGGTATATAGATACAGTATATTGAGTAAATTACAGATATGGGTATGGATACAGGTATATTGAGTAAATTACATAGGATAAGGTATAGATACAGGTATATTGAGTAAATTACATAGGATACAGGTATAGATACAGGTATATTGAGTAAATTACATAGATACAGGTATAGATACAGGTATATTGAGTAAATTATAGATACAGGTATAGATAGGTATTGAGTAAATTACATAGATACAGTATAGATAAGGTATATTAAAATTACATAGGATACAGGGTATAGATACAGGTATATTGATTAAATTACATAGGATAAAGGTATAGATATTATATTGAGAAATTACAGATAATAGATACAGGTATGTTAATAGATACAGGTATAGATATATGTATATTGAGTAAATTACATAGGATACAGTATAGAACATATTGAGTAAATTACATGATCAGGCATAAGGTATATTAAAAATTACATAGATACAGGTATAGATACAGGTATATTAAATAAATTCATAGGACAGGTATAGATACATGTATATTAAGTAAATTACATAGGATACAGGTATAGATACAGGTATAATGGAGTAAATTACATAGGATACAGGTATAGATATATATTAAGTAAATTATTACATAGATTATAGGTATAGATACAGGTATATTAAGTAAATTACATAGATACAGGTATAGATACAGGTATACATAAATATAGACAGGGCATAGATACAGGTATATTGAGTAAATTACATAGATACAGGTATAGATACAGTATATTAAGTAAATTACATAGGATACAGGTATAGATACAGGTATATTGAGTAAATTACATTGATACAGTATAGATAAGTATATTGAGTAAATTACATAGGATTGGGTATAGATATAGGTATATTATAAATTACATAGGATACAGGTATAGATACAGGTATATTGAGTAAATTACATAGGATACAGTATAGATGGTATATTGAGTAAATTACATAGGATACAGGGTATAGATAGTATATTGAGTAAATTACATAGGATACAGGTATAGATACAGGTAGTATTAAGTAAATTACATAGATACAGGTATAGATACAGGTTGAGTAAATTACATAACAGGTATATATATGTATAAATTACATAGACAGGTATAGATACAGGTATATTAAGTAAATTACATAGACAGTATAGATAGGTAAGTAAATTACATAGGACAGGTATAGATACAAGATATTAAGTAAATTACATAGACAGGTATAGATACAGGTATATATTAAGTAAATTACATAGGATACAGGTATAGATACAGGTATATTGAGTAAATTACATAGGATACAGGTATAGATGCTATGTATATTAAGTAAAATTACAGGTATAGATACAGGTATATTAAGTAAATTATAGGATACAGGTATAGATACAGGTATATTATAAATTACATAGGGATGCAGGTATAGATATATTAAGTAACATAGATACAGGTATAGATACAGGTATATTGGAGTAAATTATAGATACAGGTATAGAACAGGTATAAGTGTAAATTACATAGGATACAGGTATAGATACAGGTATAGTAAGTAAATTACATGGATAAGGGTATAGATACAGGTATATTAAGTAAATTACATAGGATAAGGTATAGATACAGGTATTGAGTAAATTACATAGATACAGGTATAGATATATGTTAAGTAATTACATAGGATGAAAGAATAATTAGTAAATTACATAGGATACAGGTATAAATGCAGGTATATTGAGTAAATTACATAGATACAGGTATAAATACAGGGTATATTGAGTAAATTACATAGGATACAGGTATAGATATGTATATTGGTAAATTACAGGATACAGGTATAGATACAGGTATATTGAGTAAATTACATAGGATAAGAGATAATATTAAGTAAATTATGGATACAGGTATGAAATATATTAAGTAAATTACATAGGATACAGGTATAGATACAGGTATATTGAGTAAATTACAGGATACAGGTATAGATACAGGTATATTGAGTAAATTACATTAGGATACAGGTATATACAGGTATATTAAGTAAATTAAATAGGATACAGGTATAGATACAGGTATATTGAGTAAATTACAGGATACAGGTATAGACAGGTATATTGAGTAAATTACATAGGATACAGGTATAGGACAGGTATATTGAGTAAATTACATAGGATACAGGTATAGATACAGGTATATTGAGTAAATTACATAGGATACAGGTATAGATACAGGTATTGAGTAAATTACACAGGATAAGGTACAGATACAGGTATATTGAGTAAATTACATAGGATAGGTATAGATACAGGTATAGAATATATATTGAGTAAATTACATAGGACAGGTATAGATACAGGTATATTGAGTAAATTCATAGGATACAGGTATAGATACAGGTTAAAGTAAATTACATAGCAGTATAGAATACAGGTATATTGAGTAAATTACATAGGATACAGGTATAGATACAGGTATATTGAGTAAATTACATAGGATACAGGTATAGATACAGGTATATTGAGTAAATTACATAGGATACAGGTATAGATACAGGTATATTGAGTAAATTACTTAGGATACAGGTATAGATACAGGTATATTGAGTAAATTACTAGGATACAGGTATAGATACAGGTATATTGAGTAAATTACATAGGATACAGGTAGATAAGATACATGTGTATATTGGAGTAAATTCTATAGGATACAGGTATAGATACAGGTATATTGAGTAAATTATATAGGATACAGGTATAGATATAGGTATATTGAGTAAAATTACATAAGATACAGGTATAGATATATATTGAGTAAATTACAACAAGGTAAGTATAGATACATATATGAGTAAATTAACAGATGAGGTATAGATACAGGTATATTGGAGTAAATATACAGGATACAGAGCAGATAGGTATATTGAGTAAATTACATAGACAGGTATAGATTCAGGTATATTGAGTAAATTACATAGATACAGTATATACAGGTATATTGAGTAAATTACATAGGATACAGGTATAGATACAGGTATATTGAGTAAATTACATAGACAGGTATAGATACAGGTATAGATAAATGACATAGGATACAGTATATTGAGTAAATTACATAGGATACAAGTATATACAGGTATATTGAGTAATTCAGGATACAGGTATAGATACAGGTATATTGAGTAAATTACATAGGATACAGGTATAGATACAGGTATATTGAGTAAAATTACAGGATAAGTATAGATACAGTATATTTTGAGTAAATTACATAGGATACAGGTATAGATGAAGTATATTGATAAACATAGGATACAGGTATAGATACAGGTATATTGAGTAAATACATAGGATAGTATAGATAGGTATATTGAGATACAGGATACAGTGTATAGATATATATTGGAGTAAATTACATATACAGGTATATGAGGTATATTGAGTA